GGGGGGGGCTGGCCCCATTCAGAAGCATTGGGATGGATGTGGAGTGAAAATGCATTTATAAAAAGCACGTTATATTTCTAAATGTGCATTACTGTGCAGATACTCCCTGTTTGAACTACGTTAAGGGGAATTCATTGTCACATTACATCATTTTCATGCCCAGAATGAATCAGAAAAACTTTAACCCTGTAATCCCAAATGTATCATATTTGATTCATACGGTTTCTGAAATGTTTTGCGTCTGACACCTTTTGCAGAATTTAATGGTAAAAACTTTGCTCAAAATCCTATTGTACACAATCAGATACACCTCATAACAGGGGGCAGAAGACTACACAAAAAATAGACAAAAAATAATCTTGACTTATCGCACAGTAATAAATTATTAATATTAAAAATGTATTTATTTAAAAAAAAAAGTCCTTACTTTTCATTGTTTGTACTTGACCTTGTCACGTGAAAAAAATATACCAAAAAAAATATATATATTAAAATATATATTTATATATACATTTTATATATATTTATATATATACATATATATAAAAATATATATTGTACATAATGTTTTTTCTTTTTACATATTTTGTTAAAAGGCCAAACAAAGACTTAAAAACCTAAAAAAGTAATTTTCTGTTTTGTTTTATTCTTGGATCAGGCTTTAAAGGGTTAATAATCCCAGAGGGAAATAATCTAAATTGTTGAATTATTTGATTCTGAAGGATTGTGAAGCACCTCATTATGGCTAATGCCAGGAAACGAGCCATACTGAAACTAAGAGTTCACTTTTCTGGTCCCTGAATGCTCGTTTCCTCCCAATTTCTGCCGTCAAATGACCCTTCCCACGCACCAACGCCCCCATGAGCAGGAAAAACAACTGAATTCACACTGAATGAGGAAGAAAAGTAATGTTTAACGTGTCATCTCGTTTCATTTTTGTGGGATGACCAAATCCAAAATGTCCAGTGTCCAAAGATAAAGATAAAGAAGGGTTTGAGTTCCAGCAAAGCTGAACACCTTCTCCTTTTACACATTTTTTTTTGTTGTAAATCTCAGCTTTTATGAGAAGAATAGTGCAAATAGACCTCAGTGGAACAGACGGAAAGATCCATAAAATTCCAGGAGGATTTACATTACTGATTAATGTCAAGTGGCCCCTCAGGAAACTCAACCCGGCCCAGTCAAAGAGTTGGAAAATACGTTTTCAATGAAGCTTTTCAAAATAAAATGTATTTTGGCCAATATACAGGACATCTTAACCCCACAGATATAGAACTAATTTCGTTTTATATTTTTGTCTGACATCCATAAGCTGTTATTTACAAGCATTTTATAGAGTCTTTTCTCCTTAAACCTGTAAAGCCAAATGTATCATATTTGATACGGTTTCAAAAATGTTTTGTGTCGGACACCTTTTGCATAATTTAATGGTAAAAACTTAGTAATATTAGTAATAATAGTAATAATAGTAATATAGTAATTACATAGTAATAAATTATTAATATTAAAAATGGATTTCTGTTTTTTCTTTTTACATATTTTGTTAAAGGGCCAAATAAGGAATTCAAACCAAAAAGAAGTAATTTTCTGTTTTGTTTTATTCTTGGATCAGGCTTTAAAGAGTTAAGCCTGAGCTAGTTTAATTTTCATGTAGCCTATAAACTGAGGACTTTGTCCTGATAAAATAAATCCTGCCAGGTCCACATATTAAGGTTAAATAACTGACCAGTCTGGGTGGGTCCAGTCTATAAGCATCTGTTTGTTTGTTTGTTTGTTTGTTTTTTTGTTAGCTAGGCATTAATGGCTTTGTTACGGTTTAGCTCTTAATTCGTCCAACTCTTCCTCCTCCTCCAGTAGCTGAACCTTCTCATCTTCTAACGGACGTCCAGAAGGCACTTTGCATTTTAGGTTATCAGTGATCTTTCCCAGGTCGGGAGCCCTTATGTTGGGATTATCAGGATTTGTGGTTAAAGGGTTCTTGTTTTGGATGGTGTGGATTACAGTCTATCCCCTCTTGCAATAGCATATTTATTTTAAAGACTAGACAGTCTTTGGATGGACTAGACTCAATTTCTGAATGTGAACGCTTTACATTGAATGTACTGAAGCAAAATTGAACTATTTCCCCTAAAACAAAGTATTAGAATAAGGCATTTCTCCCCAGTAGTACTAAATTACTAATGTGTCAAACCTGAAGAATCTGCATTCAGTTTTACTCCTGATTTGGGAGATTTTTACTCCCAATTTTACCCCCAATTTTACCCAATTTGGGTTGTTTCTCTGAGTTTCAGCCAGTCCCATCATAATTGGTATTTTATCGTGGTACAGTGGGGGAAATAAGTATTTGACCCCTTGCTGATTTTTCAGGTTTGCCCACTTACAAAGAATGCTTATTTTTCCTCATCAGATGGTTATCATTTTTTTATAAATTCATATGATGTGATTTTCTGGAATTTTCTTTGGGATTCTGTCTTTCACTGTTAGCATGTCCATATGATTAAAGTTATAGATCATTGCATTCTTTGTAAGTGGGCAAACCTGCAAAATCAGCAAGGGGTCAAATACTTATTTCCCCCACTGTAGATAGATAGATAGATAGATAGATAGATAGATAGATAGAT